AATTTTTTGAATTTACAACTTTAGCACTGATATCAATCGGAGGTCTATCACTTCTACCGGCAATCTTTTTACGAGATCGATTAGTGTTATCAACTTTCTCCTGTGCAACTCGTGTAACAAGAGCACCAGCGTAAGTTTTTTCGCCACTTGAATTATAATTTAACTTCTTATTCTTATTCTTACCTTGTAGTTTTTCAGACATACCTTTGATAGGCCTGGAAGCAGGAAAAACATCATCTTTAGATCCTCCGGAATTTAAGTCCTCCCTGAGGAGCCTGGTCTCTTGGATGAGCTGAGTCATACCCTCCCCCAGCCTGTCGAGAGAGCGGATGATCGCAAGGTCCAATTCAACACGACCATGGGGTTCCTCACGTATTTCACTTCCAGCATAGGGGTTTATCCCCCCTACATACTTCACTTCACTTACTTTAGGTTTACTCGAGGAACTACGAGGTCTATCTACAATGGAAGGAGCAGCGGCTCTCAACAAGCCGTCACCCGCCTCTGCACCGCTATCCGAGAGTACAGGCAATTCCCCATCAGGTAAGTCAAAATTATAAGTGTCTTTAATTGTTTCTCTTCTTTTAGCTTCTTTCAGCTCTACCTCTAAAGCAGCAGCCTTAATTTTGTTGTCGTTTGCAATTTTTTCTGAGTCGTAAAATCAAGCCCTCCAATATTCTGGATCCTCATTGGAAGATGCCTTCAATGATAGGAGGTCACCAGTTCTGCGAATCACCTCTAACATCATCTTGATCTGTCCACTAAAAGTTCTTTTTATACCCGTAGATCTAATTCTTATAGAATCGATTTTATTCGTCATCTCTCTTAATTTGAGATTTATCTGTGCAGCATGTTCGAGGGCAAGTCCCGCCATTTCCTCATCTATTTTTTTCCTGTTATCAACAGAAAAATGTATTGCAAATCTATCTTCTTCCCTTTCATCTTCTTTAGGGGGGGGGAATTCTTCTTTTTCCTCTTTCTACTGATAGGAGTAACCTTCCCTTTGCTTTTCTGTTTAAGCGAGCCCGAGGATCCACCAGAGATTATCATCTCATCCTCCGAGTAGTCCGTTCTACAGTAGGAAACAGGATAATTGTCATCCTCATCTGAAGCAAGCAGGACGGTTTCATGGATTCCAGAGGGACCAGCCCCACCATCTCCACCAGAGGACACCCCTTGACCTCTCAACGGAATAAGGGTTACTGAAGAACCCAGCTTCTCCACACTGGCGATAATTGGTCGACTCCCCACGCTCGCCAAAGACGTGGAGGTCAGCCCTTGGCATGATGACGACCCGTGGGGAACAGGGACGATATCCCCCACGTGCCGGTTCTCAGTATCCGACCCTGAGACGGTTTGATCCTTTGTTTCGTACATGTCCATAGAGAAAAGCGCGGTTTTATTAACAAGAATTTCCCTCTCTTGGTGAGACTAATCTATATACATCGCAATCGTTATATGTCCTACTCTATTCGTGTTAATAGAAAAAACGAGAGCAATGTCCATTAGAGTTCCATTTAGTATATAATATTTTGTATGTTTGTTTGAATATTTTACTACAAACCCGTTTCTCAAAATAATTCATCTAAATTGTCATGTTTATAAACCGAACAACACAATATTATTCTGACATTATTTCTTAAGGGGTTACACCACAGTAGAAATTTCAAAAAATTGTTTTTTTTTATTGGCTTAAAAAATCCTTTGAACCTTCTAGAATAAGAGACAAACGGTTTTATATCTGCCAGAAATCGTTTTCATTGAAATTTCGAGCTCTTTCTCGACCCCTCCCGACTGCTCCGAAACGACTACCTGCGGTAAATACGACACCTGCTTGTCGGGTACAGCATTATGTCTTACCATTCAATTTCTAACTTCTCTAATACACTAATAGATGTCGTTAGAAACATTTTCAAGCATGTTGAACACAAAGTACGTTAGTACAGCGTCCTTTGATGTTGAGAGAAGACGTAAATTTTGCGTGGAAGTTATTCGAAATCACGATTCTCTTTTGCAGTGCCTAATTTTTCACACGTTATTTGTAGCCTTGACATTTATGTGAGTTACAATGAGTGAAAAGAAAGTGTATGCAAGCCATAAAGGCTCAAAAATATCGTATCAGACGCGGCGACGGAGCAACGTGACGAAACGACGACCGCCGAACAGATATGAAGCGGAGGAAGATTCGGCCGGTGTCAGCGCTTCGGCAAAGAAATTGAAAGTGGATAGTGACGATATCGATATACAAAGTGAATTTGGTTATCGAATTATAAACTTTTTTGCCGTTTTCTCTGCCATTTCGGAATATGTGAAGTGCAAAACGTGCAACTCTGATATACGATTTCTCGAATCAGGTATGCGGGGTTTAGGCTTCAAAATAACCGTCTGTTGCTCGAATTGTCCAAAAGTTGAAATCCCGAGTTGTCCATTCATACGAAATGGATATGAAATTAACCGTAGGATTGTACTAACAATGCGACTATTAGGAGTGGGGCTAGCTGGAATAATGAAATTCTGCGCATTTATGGAATTGCCACGGCCTATATTTCAAAGTTGTTACGACCGTGCAGTAAATATAATTTTGATCGCTACGAATGCCGTGCGAGACTGTAGTATGAAAAAGGCAGCAGAAGATGAGAAGAAGAAAAGTGAAGAAAATGGATTGCATACAGGAATAACTGTATCTGGTGATGGTTCCTGGAGAAAACGAGGATTTTCGTCTCTTTTCGGGATCACATCATTGATCGGATGGTTTACAGGGAAAATTGTTGACATTGAAGTGAAATCGAAATACTGTAAAGCTTGCGAGCACTGGAAAAATAAATTAGATACTGCTGAGTATGAAGAATCGCTCGAAACTCATGCCGATCAATGTCAGTCGAACCATGAAGGCTCATCGGGTAAAATGGAGGTAGATGCTGTCATCGAGATGTTTCAACGTTCCGAAGCTTTACACGGATTTAAATACGCAAATTATATAGGTGATGGTGACAGTAAAACTTTCAAGGGGATA